GTGTCGCTGACCTGACGGACACGTGGATTTTTTTAATTTTTTTTCCATTTTTTTAATTTTTTTTTAAACTTATTTTTAATTTATTTTAAATTTTATTTGTATATTTTTTAATTTTTTATTTGGTCCAATTAAAAAAATAAAATAAATAAATAAATCCACGTGTTCGCCAGGTGTCGCTGACCTGGCGGGACACCTGGCGGACACGTCACCTCCTGCGAGCCACGCGGGCGTCTCCGGCGCCGGAGGACTAAAACATTAAAAATTTTTCACTTATGGGACTAGTTTGCGACAAGCTCCACTTACAGGACTAAAATGATAAAAGAATCCAGTTACGGGACTAAAAAACAGTTTACCCATATTTTAAGGACCCTAAAAAATTTCACATTATTCGTGGCAGGAGTGAATTCGTGATAAAAAAAAAATTATACTACCTCCGTCCGGCTCTAAGGGTCTCATTTACTTTTTGCATGTTGATTTTTTAATATTAATTATTAAAATATAATACAAAATTAAAAAAAAATAACAAAAATATTTCTACTAATGTCTTATAATACTATTATAATGATATTTGTGCAAAATATCATACAAATATCAAGATATTTTTAATATTAAATATAATTACACAAAAGATAAATGAAACTCCTAAAACCGGGAGAGGGAATAATTTTTAGGTCATAAAATAAAGCCCTAAATAGTTATGTTCAAATATATGTTGAAAATATTTTACTATTAAAGTTAAATAAAATCTAAGTTTATGCTTTTTAAGAGTAAGATTTTATTATTATTATTATTATTATTATTATTATTATTATATATTCCTTCCGTCTGGATCTTTAGATTTTATAATAGAATTAAAAATAATACTTCATCCCTCTAACTACAAAGTATACATATTTCTATTTTGGGACGTCAAATTACAAAATAATCATTTCATTAAATACCTTCATTTTTTTACAAATACCATTACTTTACATCACATCATTACTTTTATACTAAAAAAGCAATGACAGAAGTATCATTACATTACTTTTACCTACCAATTATAATTAAAATACAATTATCTCTTAAACTCCGCGCCAAAAATAAATGTATACTTATTGCTTGGACGGAGGGAGTACTAATATTTTATTAATTAGTAGAAGTTTGTATTTATAATGGTATATTTGTAATTTAGTTTAAAATTAATATTATTTTGATATTAATATATAATTATTTTTACTAAAATAGAAAATAGATAATTTTGAGTGAGACGTATAATAGTGGTAAAAATGATACTTTTGGTTGAAACGAAGGGAGTAATAATTATGATTTCTTATAAAAATTATTTTTGATGTCACTTAAATTTATGTATTTTCATTTTTTTATCTATCATCTAAAAATACTACTCTATCCGTCTCAATACAATAATTTTGTTTATCATTTTTGTCCGTCTCAAAATAATAGTCTTATTTTCATAAATAACCATATCACTATAAAACTACCCTTATTTTTTCATTATTATTACACAATTGTCATTACTTTTTATACTAATATACCCACAAGGGCAAAAAAGTCATTTATCCTTACTTTTTACCAACTATTACTTAAATCTTGTGTCTAACACAATAACACTATACTTTTGGGACGGAGAGAGTATTATTTTCTTACTTAGTAAAATATTTATATTGTTTTTTTTTTGTAAATTTTATATTATAAAAGGCAAAAAGTACACACTATTAAAATTTGCATAAAAAAATTTCAACATATTTTTCTGTGACGGAAAAAGTATTATATTATCTCACAAAATATTATATTTAAATTACTATCCAAATAAACATTTTTTAAAAAAATAAATCAAATTCAATCTTAAAGAACATACATATTTGAGGTGATGAAATACAACATACAATCTAATAAAATAAACATTTTTGATGTGATATACATATATATATATATATATATGATATTTTGAATATAAAATATTTTTTATAATATATATTGAATACAATGTATTTACTTTTAATAATTTTAGATTACTTATTATAATCCTTATATTAATTATTATGTAATATATTTTTTTTTTCTACAAATATCACGTATGGTTAAAGAAGGGATTCGCACATTCAACTTAAAACTAATTGGTGATAGGTGGACTGACTCTTCACCTATATATATACCAATGTGAGATAACATTTAACACATATAATCAATATTATATAATTTTGTAAGGGATGGCCCGGTGGTGTGGGGATTGGATGTGTGATCTTGAGGTCATGTGTTCAAACCTTCGGCGCCGTAATATATTAATTTTTTAGAAGAATTGTTTTCTTATATACTTTATAATTTTTTTTTTTGTCTGTCTCGTATACTTAATTGTTGACTTTTGTGGGTAAATAAAGTATACATATTATATATATTGAGTGTGTTCACTTCGTTTTTTAGATGAATATGTCTTTTAAATTAGATATGAAGAATTGTATCGATAATATAAAAAATAATATTTTATATTGAATTGTTAACTTTGTTGAAAACTCGGTTAATTATTTAATCGATGTAATTTTATTTTAAATTAAATTTATAATTTTCGAAATTGATTATTCTGTAAGTTAAAATGGATGCGGACTGTATGATGGTTATTGATAATATGATTAGACATATGAATATTGGTAAGCCATAGACGTATGTGTCACTTGCCTGAACCAGATAATGACACAACTACACGACCAATAGTGACTTGAGCTTGAGTTTGGTGAATACTATACGTGACAAAGTCTATTATGCTTCAAAGTCAAATCGGAACAAAAAATATTTTGTTGAAACCCAAGAAAATATACTTTTGTATAATAAAAATATAGTCCAAAAATTATAATTACATGCATATATGATAAATAATTATATAAAATTTGAAATTCAAATAATATACTTATGATTGACATTAAATTCAATGCTTATGGCCGAAAGTTATCGAAATTATGATTGGCGGTTACCGACCATTAAAACGGCAACGATTTTGACCTAAAAAATTTATTTCCCAACGAGAGTTTTCTCTCTAGCTCCCTCTCTAATCCTCTCATCTCCGGAAAAGTTTTCGGTGATTTATGCGGTTAAGTTTTTCGGCATCTTTTATAGCTTTAGTCTCCCGATACTGTGTGTGTTTACCTCATTTTAATTTGTCGGAGCTCTGAAATATTGGGGTGCTATCTAATTCGGAGGTGAATTTCATTTTATTGGGAACGTCGCGTCACAAACTGGAGATACTGTCGAGGCATATTCGTTTTTACAGATAGAGATTCTACTTTAACTCGACTTGATTATCGAATTTATTTTGATAAATTATTTGATATGCTTGTTATATAAAAATTTTCTAACAAAATGAATATAATAATTTTTTTTCATATTTATAAAAAATCATATCGCTAAAAAAATAAATTGAGTGGACAAAACTTATTATATGAACCTAATTTATCCAATCTAGGTCAGATTGTTAGGAATATGGAGTCATAAATACACGTAGTATTAATTTAGTTCAATAATTGAGGCTATTAATAAATTTAAATAATTTCCACTAAATTATTAATATATACTCGATTTGTCTACTCTAACGCTCATATTTACTTTTTTGTCTCAGTGTATTTAACATTAAAAATATTTTTATATTTGTATAATTTTTTTTTGTACAAATGTCCTTCTGTTAGTACTATAAGACACTAATTAAAATATTTTTGTAATTTTTTCTTAATTTGTACTATATTTTGATATAATAATTAATATTAAAAAATCAACAAGAAAAAAATAAATGAGACATCGAGCCGTATATTTTTTAAATTATGATTTCATGCTCACTATTTGTCTCTATTACACACACGCATCACATGAAATGTAATAATGTGTGGTTGACTTAATTTAAGAAAGTATATATATGTTAATACAACACGTTTATTTGTAATTTAAATATTTGTAATTTTGGTTTTTTTATAATACATATAGTTTTGATTTTGATTTTGATTTTTTATTTTTTAATATAGAACATACGAGCTTTACTTATTTATTAATTAATTTTGAATAAAAAATAATTATTAAATTTAACATTTTTTATAAAAACTAAGTGCAACATACCTAAGGGTGTGTTTGTTTGGGAGATTGAATTTAATTTTTACTATTCATCCCATTTCCTCCCCCCCCCCCAAAAATATCAAATTAAATACCTAATTTTCATTTTTTATATTATACTAAAAATTAATTTTATATTCAAAACATCACATCAATATCTATTTATATCACATCATACAACTATTCAAATTCAAAATTTTTACTATTCAAATCCCAATTCAAAATTCAAACCCCCAAACAAACACACCATAAGATAATATATACTTCATCCATCGTAATACTATTTTTTGTATCATTTTTTATCTGTTCCACCTGAAGTATCAATTTTCTATTATAATTAAATTAATTATATTTTAATATTCAAATTATCCTTAACTTTAATATATATTAGAAATATATCATTATACGTACATATAATATAAAATAAAAAAAATATTAAAACTATATTTCACATTTTCACTAATTAATAAAATATTATTATTTTCGTCAGCTTGTAAAGTATATACATTTCTATTTTAAATTGTTTAATTAAAAATAATCATTTAAAAAATACCCTATTTTTTTTATTGCAAATATCATTATTTTACTATTTTATCATTACTTTTATATCAAAAATAAGAGTAAATTTGTCTTTATATTACTCTTAACTACCTACTATAATTAAAATACTATTATTCTTAAATTTTATTCAAAATAAATATATGAGGACATATACATAGTAAGTTAAATAGTAGAAAATTAATAATTTAATTAAAAGTAGAATTAAGAAGGGTGTGTTTATTTTGTAAGATTGTTGGAAATAATTTTTTTATTTATTTATGGTATAAAAATTATGTAAAAAATATAAAAATAACAAGTGTATATAATATATTAATTCTTTTGAGAAAATGTGTGAGAAAAATAATATAAAGAATAAAGCTGAAATAAATGAGCTTCTCATAAATTTGATTTGATTTGACTTCATTTAATTTTGATGACAGCTTAATCAAAAAATGAGTTGAATACGAATATAAATTTTAAATTGTCACATATATATAAATTTTTTAAATAAAATTTATCCACATGATTAATTTTATAAAATTATTCATAATAATTATATATATAGCGGCGATTAAAGTGCTGAAATTCAATCAAACCAATTGATGGTTTGAAATTCCTTCATTGCCCCTGATGGCACATCTTCCATGACTTTTTCTTGTCCTTTTGGATAATAAATTCCCGTTCGATGATCTTGCATCCACCAGCCGTTGCCGGTTCCGCTGCCGTTACCGTTACCGTTTCCGGCTGCCGGATTATGCTTCGCCGCCTCATCACCATTCAACTTTATTGTATGATCCGCAACGGTGTCCGGAGAGCCGGTTTTTCTATGATAAGCCTTTCTTAACATTGGTCTGCAAGGTTAAATTTGTAATTTAATAGTTAAGAACGTTCCTATTTTTTTTTTTTTAATTATTTGTTTGTATGTAAAATTGTAAAATAAATAGACTGTTTGTAAATTTGGGTTTATTCAATTTGTTAAAAACTTTTTTCACAAATTAAAAAAAAAAAAATTTAAATTTGAATATAAAATTCCTATTTGTCATATTTCCGAACGAGTCCGAATTTTGTTAGCAAATGTTCACAGTGTATTCCTTATAAAAAGGTTACTTAGCATGTTTAATCGAACTTGCACAAAAGAAATCATTTAACAACTCAAATTTAAATATATTCTCCCCGTCCCATTGAAAGGTTGTCATTTTTCATTTTTGTTCGTCCAAAAACAAAGTTACCATTTCATAATTTAGTAATTGTACTGCATACTAACATAATAAATACCATTCCAGCTTACACTATATTACACAAATGCCGTTACTTTTATATTACACAATACTAATAAGGACATTTTTGTTTTTTTCACTACAACCCATTATAGTACTAATATTAAAAAAATCTACGTGCAAAAAATAAACGACAACTTTGCACCGGGACGGAGAGAGTATTAAATTTGAAAATTGAAAATTTTATTTTGACTTGAAAATTTGTTAATAAGCCAAATTGAATTGTGATTACTTTTTATTTTAATTTTGAATTTGGATAGAAATAGTGATTGAATGTAATGTCTTATGAAATATATAGAGTAAATTGCAAAAAATATCCAACACTTATACCTTATTATCACTTTTGTCATGTATTTATCTCCTTGGCAAAATATATCACACATGTTTACAAAAATCGTTATTTATGTCCTTTTTTCGCGCGTGAAATTCACACCACGCGCCCTTACGCGCAATCACGTGCAGTCAAATGATAGAAATAACGACTTTTAAAAACATGTGGAATATATTTTACCGGAGAGATAAATACAGGATAAAAGTGATAATGAGGTATAAGTGTGAGATATTTTTTTCAATTTTCCCGAAATATATATATATATATATATATAATTTGCAATTATGATATATAAATGAAATTTAAAAAAAAAAAAATAAATAAATCAAAGAAAACATAAGAAAAACTTACTTAAAATACATAGAATTCATGGATTGTGCTCCTCTTGATGCCATTTTTTTGGGGAATGTATTTATGGAATAAATTTGTTATGACCTAAATGCTTCAACTTTTTATAGTGAGTTCATCCAAGTGGAAATTTATTATTATTTAGAAAAAAAAAATCGTTAGAAATAAATTAAAGAGGATAAGATAATGGGCTGTTGTGTGTACACATTGAAATTGAGTGGAAATAATGATTTTATTTTTCGATAGATGTATTTTTTATGTTAGGTATATAACATTATATTAATAATATAAAAAAAAAATGATATTTTATGTTGAATTGTTGATTTTTGTGAGATGATAAAATATATATTATATATTGTGTTAATGTGTGTATATTATAGTTTTAAATACAGTAATATTTATGAGGAATCATTCTGGCAAAAAAATATATATATTAGGTGAACAAACTAAATAGAATCCCCATTAAATAGATATTTTAAAATTTTTTAAAATAACAAAAGTTAGGTATTTAATATAATATAATGTTTTTTATAAAATTATTCTTGATAAATAATACTCCCTCTGTCCCAATACAATAGTCGTATTTACCACTTTTGTCCATTCCAAAACAATAGTCTCATTTTCATAAATAATCATATCACCGTAAAACTATCCCTACTTTTTCATTATTGTTACATAATTGTCGTTAATTTTTACACTAATATACTCACAAGGGTAAAAATATTATTTATCCTTATTTTTTATCCACTATTAATATAATATCAATATTCTTTAAATCCTGTGTTAAAGACAATAAGACGGGATTATCAATATTTTATATATAAATGAGCCATAACAATTTGTTTTTGATGATTCAATTGAGACCAAAAAATTTAAAGAAGGCATGGGTTGGATGTGCCCCTCCATACCAATATATATATATATATATATGCGTATTTTCTTTCTTTTAAATTTTTTTTGGTATTATTTTTTAATTTTAATTTTAATTTTCTTAATAATTTTTATATTTACATACAGCTTACCATTTTACAATTAAAAAATATATATAATTATTATGAGCAAAAAACAAAACTAGAATAGCAAAAAAAAAAAAAAAAAAAAAAGAGATAAATCAAAATTATGCTATATAAAATAAGTTTCAAAATCAAACCATGCAAAAAAGATATGAGAGATCAAAGTAATATTTAAATTTTTTTCTTTTATTTCAAATTAAAATTAATATTATTTATCTTATACAATTGTAAGTAAAAATACATTATTTTTTTATTTTTACAAAACGCATACAAAATATTATCTAAATAAAAATGCAAATAAATATTCTATTTCGAATTAATTTTAAACGACAACCATACAAACCATAATAGTGTGATAGACTTGAGAATTATTCTTCAATGTATAGTTGTTCTACTCCCTCCGTCCCATGTAATATGAGTGTATTACTGTAGACACGAGAATTTAAGTAAAGTATAATTAATAAGTAATTAAGAAGTGTATTAGTAAAAATAATTATTATTTAGTAAAAATAATTATAGATTAAGATTAAGATAAGTAAATAGTTTAATTAAAATTAAAAAAATTATAAAATTTAAAATGCGATTAAAACGCATAATTATATTTTCAAAAATAGAAAGAACAAGTTATGTGGGACGGACGAAAATAGAAAATATGGACAAATTATATGGGACCGAGGGAGTAATATATTTATATTATAGTATAATAAATTTGTACTAGAGTAACAATACAACATTTTTATTAATATTTTTTATTGTTTAATTGAATTTTCAAATATATTTTGTTTTATATAGTTCAACTAACTTTGAAGTATTTCTCAAAATAATTGTTGAAAGTATCATACTTATTTAATAAAATAAATTTATATGAAAGTATATATATACATATGAAGCAACCCATTGTATTGTGACTCAGGTTATACTTACAATTTTAAGTTGTGTTTTTTATGGGTTTTAACACAAACTTTTATTATTGAAATTATTCTCTTTTAAAAAATATCAAATCAAATAATAATTTTTTTTTTATATTATACTATAAATTTATTTTACGTTCAAAACATCACATCAATATCTATTTATATCAGTTGAAACAACTATTATAATTATATTTTTTGCTATTTATAATCCAAAACCAAAACCTTAAACTCGCAAACAAACACGCAGTTAGAGTTTTTGACAATGTTTATTTATAATAATAATTTTTTTTAAAAAAAATATTATATCAAATATATGTACATATCTTTTTATAAATATCAAATTAAATACTAATTTTTTATCATTAATTTTTTTTTTTTTACCAAAACCTCAAACTCACAAACAAACACGCCCTTATAGTTTTTGACACTGTTTATTTATAATAATAATTTTTTAGAAAAAATATTATATCAAATATATATACATATCTTTTTATAAATATCAAATTAAATATTAATTTTTATCATTAATTTTTTTTAGACTCTAAAATTATCTGTCTAAACAAAGCCTATATATATCCAAGTATGAGTATAATGGCCTTTACGCACAATGCGAATTGGGAAGTTTTGAGTTTTAAATAATAAAATCTAAAATTTAAATTTATTTAATGTGATATAAATATTATTTAATATAATATTAATTTGTAGTATTATATAGAAAAACACAAAATATATATATTCTCTCCATTTCTTTCTTATTTTAGAAAATGTAATCTTATACTTATATTAAAATACTTTTTAACTTTTACTTAAATTACAAAAATATAATTACTTTGTACGTAAAGTCAAAAGATAAAACTCTCAAAAACTTTTACATACTTTCAATGATCAATAAAATACTATTTTTTTTTCGGTTTCTAAATTAACAAATCAACATTTACCTATTATCCTCAATTCAGTATTATTTAAACCAAATGTCATTACATTTATTACCTTATCTCTATTTTACTTTTTTTTTTTTAATTTATAACTAAATTTTCAAAAAGACTCGTAACTATGTTTTTTTACTTTTATCACATTTATAATAAAATATTTATTTAATTTTCGTGTCGGAATCAAATATTTTAAATTTACGGAAGAGAAGAAGTATTATTTTTTAATCTATCCGAGAATATTTGATTTTTAATAAAAATAAAATAAAAATAATATTAATGGTAAAAGAATTACAAATAAATCTCAAACAAACACAATAATAATCTAAACTAAAAGGAGGCAGTCTTAAAACGATGATGTGCACAGAATTAGTGATAGAATTGCAACTGTCCTTATCTCTTATATCAAATCCAATGGACCATAAAATTCCCACGAGATTGGCTTCCCCATCATCCATTATTGCATCCCCCAACCCCCCACCCCACCCCACCCCACCCTCATGTCCTTCATACACGTCCATTGATATGGACTTCTCATCGACGTGACAATTAGGGTATTGGTTAGCTTTTACGAATATTGGTCGTTTAAATATATGCTTACCTCTTTTTTTTTTTTTTTTTTCTCTCTATTTTTTTTTGTTTTACTTTATTGTTTACTTAATTGTTGTTAGTTTTTTTTATTTTTTATTTTTTTTTATTATTATTGAATTTTTTTTTTGTTGATGTTTGCAAGTTTTTTGGATATAGAATGAACTGCAGCTAGAGATTGAACCTTTGCAATTTGAGCCCAGAGTTTATTAAGATTCATATTGTTATTGTCCTCAGAATTTTGTTTGTGATGATGGTGAACCCAAAATCGTCTAACAGATTGGTGAAACATCATCGGAGAAAATCTAAATTGTAACTAATTTGGCAGCGGAGCAAATTAAATTGTTAAGGGATTCTGGAGTTTCCAGTAGAGAATGAAATGAGAAAAAATCAAAAGTTGAAAATGAGAGGTTTGTGGGATAGGTCGAGTACGAAAAATTATCAAGAAATGGTAGATAGATTTTTTGATGGTAGATAGATTTCTTGAATGTATAGCTCGATTGTATCCACACATCATGTGCTTCAATAATTTCAATAGTGAGTTTCGCTTGGATTGGAATCCGCCGGATGTAGACTGGTGCAGTCGAATTGGGCTATCATTTCGTTGTGTTTCTATTGTTCTTCGTCACCGGTATGTTCATTCGTAATTCGATCGTCCGATGAACAAATAGTCAGTGCTGAGGATTTTTCTGCGTTGTTTTTTTAAGTTTGTTGCTGTTGTGCGTGAGTTAATCAATTTTCGGGCCAACAATAATTATGACTAATTGTTATTAAAATTTATGTTCAAATATTTAAGAACTTAATTAGATAATGCAAGGAGTATTTGGCTGTATGGCTTGAATTAAATTAGCATGTATGGTATTCATTGTTATAATGTATTGTCAATTGAATATATACATATGTATTGTATCAGCATACATCTTGATAAAATTCGTGACATGTAATATTTTATTATTATTATTATTATTATTATTATTTTATAATGTGAAAATCCGCCGCTGTTATTCGAAAATGAGCACCGGATAAAACCATGGTTAACCTAATATCCTGCAAACTAGGTCAATATATGACTAAATATATTGTTTGTCACATATAATTCATTTAATATTACTTATTTAATTCAAATTTACTCAGAGAACACTAGCAACAATTACAAATTTTCAGTCACTAAAATCATATTGAAACCGTGTCTACTGTTAATTCATATGTTGTATTTATATTAACGGCACCCTTACGTTAGAATAAAGCACCATAACCGCCGCCATCGTCGAACCCATCTCATTTGCCCATACAACAACAACAATGCAAACTCATGAAAAAAAAAAACAAATATCCAGACAATCGAACAATCTATGTAAGAATTGCAGCATCATTAGGACAAGGACGACGACCACAACATCGTCATCGTCCGTTGATTGATCGATCGCCTATTTATTCGCAAAAACAACGACCGGCGTCATCGCTGCTGTCGAAAACATAACAGTTAGCTTCCTTAAAGTTTGTAATGATTTTGCTATGGGGATCGATGAATGTATGTATGTACTTATGTATGTATGTAAGAATGTACGTTTCGAAACAATCCCCCGTCTCGCTAAAAACTCGCTTCCTCGGTGCTCGGCCGGCGCAAGAAATACCGTAAACTATTCCCCAAAACCTGTTGCAGAGGTTTGATCAAAGCTTTCCCCTTGTAGTTTACATGGAATTTCGCCTTCGCCAGCAGCCCCTACGATCGATCATCGATCGACATTTATGAGAGCTCGATAAGAATTTTTATTTCTACTTTTTTCAAAAGTTTCGAATACGATTGATGATTGATTACCTCGGTATCGAATTCCCCGGATTGAACGGCGATGTTAATGTCGGTAATGATCTTCACAAGATCCACCAGTAATCCCGGACGATCCGCCGTCTCGACGACGAGCAGGCTGCGACAATATATAGCAAAACATTGGGAAACAAATTAATCCATCGGCGCGTATGAAAAAACGTATACCTTTGGTCGGGGCTATCCTCGTAGACGTGAACGTGTGTAGCTATGTCGACATCGACCTGTTTTCGAGAAAAATTTGGAGTAATTAAGGATATAGTGTCGCGACAATGTTCGAATTCCATCGATTTAGTACCTCTTTGCTCGGTGGCGTTAGGCCAAACGCCGCCCCTAAGGCTAACTGACCGCTCGACTCCTATAATCAACACGACGGTGTAAAATTGACGACGAAAGGACCTAACGTGAAAATTTCAAAAAAAGGCGTAAAATTTACCGGATGATACTCGATCATATTGTTGATGATTGTTAGACGGATCGCCTCTAGCAACTCCGGCTCGTCGACCTTTCTTCCAGTCGAGCTGGTTTCCGAAGAAAAAATAAATACATAATCGAAAGCTCAGAAAAGTAAGTGTATCTATTGTATGTCGGGACGAACTTACGCTTTAGTGATAGCGAATCTGTTGTGTTTTCCGGAAGAGTCGAGAACCACATTCGCCTTGACGACATTCAGTCCAAGGTTTTTCAGAGCGTTCATCTACATTCGGGCGTCGGTATTAATTAGAAATCATTATGAAACGTTTGTATTCGGAAAACTAAAACGTAAATACTCCCTCCGTCCAGCCACAAGAATTACATTTACCTTTTGCGTCATTTTTACTTATTATTAAAAATATCTTTATATTTATATAATTATCTATACAAATGTCATTGTATCAGTATTATAAAACACTAATAGAAGTATTTTTTGTCTTTTTCCCTTTAATTTGTACTGCGTTTTGGTATAATAATTAATATTCAAATATTTAAATGTAACTCTTGTATCAGGACGGAGGGAGTATATTTTTATTCAAAACGGGAAACGAATGTATTCACCGTGTCAAGGAGAGCCCCGAGACGATCCCCGAAGGTGATTTCTACGATAGTGGCGTCCGGGTCCGAATCTTGATCTATTACAACAACTGGCGTCGGAACTACATCGGTGTCCTGAGGACTTCCATCCTGTTTCGACAAATGTGTAATGACATCAAACGGATTCGGATCGTAAATTAAAGTATTAAGTTCAGAATTGATACCTCGACAGCTGGAACCGGCGACGCTTTTACAATAAATGCACTCATCGAAGAGCGTAAGCTGATGCAATATCGAAACAAAAGCAAAATAAACGACAGCCAGCCGCGAATAAAACAAAAAACAACCGTTACGATTTTCAGTTGGAAAAAAATAGAATACGAACGAGCGAAAAATGACGTTGCAACAATCCAACGAACTGTTTATCAAGTTACACATTCATCCCAACAATACGGAAAATTAACAAAATTAGCATAAAAACTCGTCGTAATTTACTAGATGTCCGCGAAGAAAGAATTCAACTTATGCTTCTCGTCGATTCTTACAAGACAGACGATTATCCGAAATGTAATGATGTCTTATTTTATTACAACAACGATCATCCGGCGATTGCAAAACACTAGAATTATGTTAGATTGTTTTGTCGAGTCTTCAAACCTATTTTTGCGCTATTCATCGTATATTATCCTTTAAAAAACATTGTATCCAACGAATGTCGTATACAACTATTTTTACATCCATCTATGGAGATCTTTTCGGGTTTTATTACTATGCAGATTCGTCGTTTTCAATAAAAATATACCTCGTTTTTCATACAAGATATCACATTCAACCACTATTTTAACCTAAAAGAACAAAAACCAAAACTTACCTAACATAAATAGCTTGTTTGGTTTAGTTTCAAATTCAAATTATTACTATTCAGTTTGCATCGAAATAAAAAAAAAAATACACTATTTTCTGTCACAAACGTCAAATCAAATTACTATTTAAATTTAAAAAATCCAATCAAAATCTCAATCTCAATCTCAATCTTGAATCAAAATCAACACAACCTAAAACCTAAACACAATTTCTCAATTAGTATCAACATACCAAACAATAAACATGAATATATATATATATAGATAGATATATAGACAAACACCATTAATGGCCATTCAAGCAACCAAAGTTTCTTCAATTTATTTTTTCAATAAAAAAATTCCAAGATAACAAAACTCATGTTTACTTTTTCACTAATATTCCAGATTCTGCATAAACAATAAATCATTCCTCCAGCCAAACCATTGCAAACAAAATTCAAAACCAAAACCAAAATCAAAATCTAAGAACCTGTTCCTGGAAACAATGCAAGAGAGCAGAGGTGCTGAATCGAGAGCAAAAGGACAAGCAAGACGAACACCAGATTGCTTCTCCACACCTCTCCAATTGCTGCAATAAAACCCTAATTTGCTGCCACTGGAAGCCATAGCCACAGCCATTTCTTCTTTGCCTTCAATCGAACAAATTAAAAACTGTTCCTCCTAAAAAAAGGCAAAATAATAATAAAAGGAAGAAAATCGAATATATTTCCCCCAAATTTTCGATTCGATCGAAGAAGAAGAAGAGGAGTGTTAGAGGAAGAAGATGAATGGGTGGAGAAAAGGGAGTGGTAGAACAACTGTTCTAGGAGTGTCCGCCATTGCTCACTTGTGATTATAAGCAGTTCGCCTTAAATATGTTCGTGGGTAATAAAAGGAAAATATTAAAATTAATAATAATAATAAAATAAAATAAAGAAATAGATGAGATAGATAATATATGGGCATGGTTGAATTGGATTGATAGCTTTAAAAGGCTTTATAGCCTCACAAACTCAATCTGCCCCTTCCATTATTTTTATCCCTTTTTTTCTTTTAATAAAATTGTCATTTAATTTTTCAGTCATTCTATTTAACATTAAAAATATTTTTATATTTAAATAATTTATTAAAAAATATTATTACATTTGTATTATAAGAGACTAAACATTTGTATTATTTCCATAAATAATCATATCACTATAAAATTACACTTATTTTTTTATTATTATTACACAATTGCCATTATTTTTTACACTAATACACTCACAAGGTAAAAAAATCTTTTACCCGTACTTTTTACTCGTGCCAAACACAACCTAAACTATAGTTTTGGAATGAAAGGAGTATTAAAAATCAACATGCAACCTTCTTAAGGAAGATATGAAGTATTAGTACTCCCTCTGTCCCACGTGTCCATATTGCCGTTTATGTTTGTCCCACATATCATGTCACTTTTTTTTTTGGAAAATGATCACACACTTTAATCTCATTTTAAACTTTTTAATTTTATTTTATTTTTAAATTTTAATTAAACTAATTAATTATCTTAATCTTAATTTATAATTATTTATATTATCGAATAATTATTTTTATTAATATATTCTTAATTATCTATTAATTACACATCTCATAAAATACTGTGTATACAGTGTAGCAACACAGTATGTGAGACGAAAGTAGTATTTTTTTAAGCTTTGTAAATGGACTGTGGAGTCCATTCGGACAGATCAGGTGCCTATCTCATTATTTATTTATTTTATTTAAGTTTTTAAATGTTGGTTAGATAATACTTTCTTTGTTTCAATTTTTTGTTAAATTATTTATATTTATATCCGTATCATTTATATTTATCATTTATTTTTAGAAAATATAATTATATATTTTAATTATATTATTTTTGTTACGTACGAAATTTAGAATTAGGTTAAAAGCCCAAGGTAAAAAGAATAGTGGGCCTGGCAATAGAGTTGATTGAACTGACTGAAGGGCACCATGAGGAAATCAAGGAAAATAGGTTTATTACTAAGGAAAGTCCTCAGGTCGGAAGGTCTTCAGGTCGGTAGGTCCTCAAGACGGAAGGACCTCAGGTCGGAAGGTCTTCAGGTCGGTAGGTCCTCAAGACGGAAGGACCTCAGGTCGGAAGGTCTTCAGGTCGGGAGGTCCTCAAGACGGAAAGTCATCAGGACGGAAGGACCTCAGGTCGGTAGGTCCTCAAGACGGAAGGACCTCAGGTCGGAAGGTCTTCAGGTCGGGAGGTCCTCAAGACGGAAAGTCATCAGGACGGAAGGACCTCAGGTCGGTAGGTCCTCAAGACGGAAAGACCTCAAGTCGGAAGGTTTTCAGGTCGGGAAGTCCTCAAGGCGGAAAGACCTCAAGTCGGAAGGTTTTTAGGTCGGGAGGTGTCCTCAAGACGGAAAGATCTCAAGTCGGAAGGTTTTTAGGTCGGGAGGTGTCCTCAAGACGGAAAGATCTCAAGTCGGGAAGATTGGCAGTCGGACCCATACTATTGTAGATTGGCAGTCGGGCCAAAAGAGCGGAAGGTTTGTGGTCGGCTCAAAGAGTGAAATATAGGGATAATTTTGGTCTGCTGGGGACGCGTGTCAGCATGAGAAGGGTTGGAAGACGGTTGGGAAGGAGACGTTGTAACCGTTCGGGTGACGGTTTTCGGTACGGTTTCCCAGAGAATATTTAAAGGCTTGGATAATCATTTGGCAAGGTATCTTCAATCAACTTCAACAAAGCAAAGTCAGATTTGGGGATCACCACTTTAAATTTCAGTCTTTTATTTTCCAGTTTATTTTCTGTACCATACAGTGTTTAGAGATTCCTAATCTCAGGCACTAATTAATCAAGTTTAAGGATATTTTCTATATCTTTGAATTTTACTTTATTTTTGTTGAAAAATTACATCAACAAATTGGCGACCACAGTGGGAGCAAAACAAAATTGCTCATTCCAATTCCGGCGATAATTACATACGTCTAAGATCCGGCCGTATCATCGGAAGGGTCCATATGGCAGGTTCACAACCTCAATCATCGTCGGCACCGGTGGGAGAATCCGTTCCACCACCTAATGTGCCAAATGCCGGGGAAATCCCACAACCACCAACAGATTGGTGGTCTTATGTTCAACAAATGTTGCGTGAGCAACAAACGAACATGTTGCGTGAGCAACAGAGCATGATGCAGACCATGATAGATCAAGCACTGTCTAGGGTTAGTCTTCAACCCACTCAAACTCCACCAGGAATATCACCGTCCAGACTACAGGCAAATTTCGCAGGGCCATCATTCGTGGATAGTACATTCCCAAGTGCCACTAATCCCAACCGAATGGATAGGGGAAAATCTCCTCTGACTTTTCCCAACACTGTTCCACTGGGACCAAGGATTACCAATCCGCAGACGAACAATACAAGGGAGGACAGGCCTGAAGGATATATACATGATCCTATTCATATTCCTGTGCAGGATCCGTTACATGTTCCTGATCATCAACGCTTTCATGTAGATCCTGATGAGCTTGCACATATATTAAGGGATCAGTATGGATTAACTCCTCAAATGGCTAACCGCCCTGCATATCAGAAACCTTTCCCAGAAAGGATCATTAATGAACACCCTCTCCCAAGGAATTTTCGACCACCCGATTTTCATGCATTCTCAGGGGAGGACGGATCTTCCACCATAGAACATGTTGGTCGGTTCACAGCACAATTAGGAGAAGTTGGCAATAACCCTTTTTATAAGTTACAGCTGTTTGGTTTATCTCTTACTAGAACAACGTTTTCTTGGTTTGTAAGTCTGCCTCCTGGACAAATTCAGACATGGGAAGGACTGGAGATGGCATTTCACACTAGATTCTTCAATCCTTTACCAGTTGTTTCTTTAACTGATTTACTTGAATTGAGACAGTATCCAGAAGAAACTGCTTCACAGTTTATAGAAAGGGTGCGATTGATGAAGGGACGATGTCCTACGGTAATCAGTGAGAAAGAGATGACCAATTTAGTGGTCCGGAATATGCATACTCGTTTAAGAAAGGCACTCACTGCCCTGGATGTTGAGGATTTGGCAAGTCTTGCATCCAAAGCAGGACGTCTAGAGTCTTTGTTCAGAGAGGAAGATCAGCATAACAGGCGTAATAGAGGCCAACATATGGCGAGTATGGGAACGGAAACATGTGATTTTGATTTTAATCAGTCAGAAGAGATGGCAGCCGAAATCCTTTCTGGAAAACCTTATGTATGCCCTAAGTTGAAGCCAGTACTAGGATCTGAAGGAAAAGAGCAACCGACGTTTGATAGTTCAAAAGCTGATGAAATTTTTGATATCTTGCTGACTGATGGGCAGATCCGTATTCCAAAGGGGCAAAGACTTGCCACTAAAGAAGAAATCAAAGGGAGACCATATTGTAAGTGGCATAATTCTTTCACGCATACTACAAGTCAGTGTACTCATTTCAGGAAGGAAATTCAAAAGGCCATCAAGACGGGTCGGCTCAAATACATCACTCTAGGTGTAGATCAGCAACCATTTCCGAAAGTAACAACTGCAATGGTTGACATCCAACCAAGTTCGGAAACAAGGAAAAGCTCGGCCAATGATGGACAAACAGGGAAACGAACTCAGGCAAGCCCCGGAACAAAGAAAGGAAATCAGCCAAAAAGCAGCCGACCTGAAGAACGACTCAAAGTTTGTGAGAAACCAGTCGCTGAAAAATGGGACCATCCAGACGGTTCTTTTAATGTGGAGGTGAAAGAAAGGGCGTTAGTGCGTGACCACCCGACCAGAAAAACAGGGTCAGTCGGGAACAATTGGGCTCGAAATAAAAAGCCTTTGCCAGTTGATATAGATCCTCGTTTCCCAGGTATGAATCGTACACAGATTCGCAATGCCAAACGCAGGTATGCTGCAAAGTATGGGAAACGAGTTCCTTCAGCAAAACAACTAACCGACGAACAAAAAGCAGCCGACCACTTGGCAGGAGATCGGTCCGTTAGAGTCTCCACAGAACAACCGACCAACGAGCAGGGAGCAGCCATTCAGTTTCCAATTGGTCGGTCCAGTCGGGTCTGGTCAGGAAAGCAACCGAATGACGAATCAGGCGCTTCCGACCATACCAAAAGAAGTTCGTCGGGACAGGGGAAAGGTAAAGGAATGGCAGATGAAATAATTAAAGGTTTTAGATGCCAACATTGTGAACGGATCAACATCAATCCATCTCTTGAAGATTTCCGTATAGAATCTTTGACGCTTCAACCTCAGAACAAGACGAAGGAAGAAATTCTAACTACAGAGGAAAGTTCAAGATCTGTTAAATCTCGTCTGGGACCACGCATCCCTTGTCGGATGACAGAGATTAATCAGATGAGAGATGAACCGATATGGGCGAGTCTGGTAGATGATACTATGGACGAACCGTTATGGGCATTCTTGGCAGATGATGAATTAGAGGAAACAGAGTGGGCAAAGACTTCAGATTCTGAGCCTCAGTCAGAAACACCTTCGATAGTGTTTCCTCCTATTCCAGAGGGTGCGATCTCCCATTTGAAACCTCTGTATGTTAATGCTCACATTTGTGGGAAACCAATCACAAAGGTTTTCGTGGATAATGGAGCAGTCTTTAATGTTATGCCATTGAAGACTCTCAAGAAGCTAGGGAAAGGAATTCATGATCTGTCTCCTGTGGAATTCGAAATGACAAGTTTTACAGGGCAGCCGACTAAGCCTGAAGGGATGATGGTTGCCACCATTGAAGTCGGACCAAAGAAGATTTCCACTGTTTTCTTTATTGTGGACGCAAATACTACATACTCTCTCTTGCTGGGAAGAGACTGGATTCATGCCTCCCAATGTGTGCCA